TCCATAACGAATTCAAAGAAAGCGATTGGCAGTGATAGTAAAAGTTATAAAACTAGCAGTGAAGTGCATAGTAAAATAGGAAAGAAAAAGCAACAAAAAGGTGTCCCACAAAAGTGGAAAATCAAAACAAGATGACGGTGACGACGATGGCAACAACCACGATGGCAGCAGTTTGGAAGGAGGCTAATAGCAAGCATGCCTTCGGAATCGGTAAGCTGGGTTTCTAATAAATANCAAGATGTTGTCATACAAAGGGGAGGAACCTTCAGTTTTACGCTTACTCTGAACGGCGATTTGCATTTTAAGAGAAGCTGTTTTTCATGGCAGAAATACACTTGAAGTTTTGCCTTGGCTGTAGGGCGAGCGCTATTAGAAAAAAACTTTATTGTCTTTTGTTTTTGATGTTATTCGGAAACTGGACTCGTTCTCAGGCCTTGCGGAATTGTAGTCTGCACTTCTAACCATCACACCAGAGCGTACATGCAAACGTACTTTTGTTAAAAAGTTTCAATGCAATTTGTGCAAGGAGTTCAGATTGCTTTCATAGAACTTCAAAAGTACCCCAAAATACTCCTGCCTACCTGAACCAGCCATGTTTGCCCCATCAGTGTAATTGTTTTTGTTTTTGTATTTTGAATAATATAACAAAAACAAGTTTTTCACATTATATTCGGCTCTTTTACATCGTCGCAATAGTCACTTACCATTCCTAATTTTAGAGCCTGATTGTATTTTCCTTTGCAACCATTTCGGGGAACCAAGACTCATTGCTTTCTACTTTACTTCAGTTTTCCCGCCATCTACTTTCATCTCCATTATAGCCACTTCAGGTCATTAGTTCTATGTGTTGTCTGGCATGAATAGTTCTTCACTGGAATGAGAAACCAAAGATCAATTAGAGGCTAAAAGACAGGTACCGTCGACCGACCTTCTGCAAGGCAACTTGTTACATCGCATATATGTATGTACATACATATGTACGTACATACATACTCGCGTATACGATCAAGTTCATATGTGTGTTTGCATGTTGAATGTACATTAGGGTGGTCCAAAATAAGTCCAATCGGAATTTTAATACTCTCATCGAGGATTGTTTTGTATTGAATAAAATATTTATGCACCTCTTTCTTATTTTAAAATCAGAAAATATTTAGAGGTCGCTCAAAGCGCTCAAAATTCACCATATGTTTTATATGAGAAAAACAACTTTTCAGTGAAATGGTACAGAATTCTTCAAAATCTATATTTTTCGATAGGAAATTCTGCTTCTCTTTAGGAGACTTTCAATAAAAATACCCAATTATTTATTTGACCATTTTTTAATACAAACATTTTTTTATCGGTATAGAACAATCCTAGGGGCTGAGAGCATAAAAATTCCGACTTTACTTTTTCACATGCATTTTTTGTCCACCATAATGTGCATACAATCTTCCCAAAAGCCTGCGAACAAAACAAATTCAAAGGATTTTCCACCTTGGTGCACTTACTTCACATTTTCATCGTTACCTGGGCTTCTGGCTGTCTAAAATTTCGTTTTCCAAGAGTGTGGAATATGCCACGCTCAAGCTGACTGGTTGCACGTGGAAAAAAGTGGATCACGTTTAGAGTTTCAACACTCACGTACTTGAGAATGAAAAAAATAAGAATGCAAGGCGTCGGTGGTCGGCCATTGGTTGTTTACAGTAAAGAGATGCTTGTGGAATTTCAGTGAATATCGCGCAATATCACAGGTACTACTTGTGTACATACATACATATGTACGCATACATTTTTACAGTGGATATATGTACACATACACATAGATAATACAAGTTTATATGTATGTAAATACATAAGTTTATACATCTGACTTATGTAAATCTCAGCTAATGTAACTGAAAACCCGACTGTACTTGAATTAGAATCATATAAATAATTGCAAGTCTACAGGCAGGTGATATGAACAGTAGCTGTGCCGTGGAGCGCAATAGCAGCTGTGGCAGTGACCATGAAACTCGATTCGATCTTAAACATCTAAGGTTGAAGCGTTGTAATTGCAATTTATTGTTGTTTTCAAATAAATGCTGTAAAAAATTATATAATTAGGAATATCAAATCAAAAGTTTTGGCTTTCGTTTTATTTGGGAAAGGTCGAATTTTATGTATTTAATTAACTGCCTAGCAACAATTTAAGTTGTGTACAGACATTTACGACCAATTGAATACCTAATATATACTTTAATTCTAAAAAATTAAAATTCTACTGAAATTTATTACGCATTAAATAATTCTTCAGTTTATTCGAAGTAATGATTTCGAGTCTGACAAGTCGTGATTCAAAAAATTTTGAGATATAATTAAATTCAGACAAAGCTGAACCCAATAAAAAACCTCAAAACGACGGAGGCTTCTGCAAGGAACATTTAAGTAGCATTTTCATAAAAATTTCCGATTTGCAGTCTTCTTTATTTTTTTTTATGAATTAGGCTGATAGTCTGTCAAGAAGAGAAGAACAGCCAATTGCGTCATAAATAATATCAACAAAAAATGATGAAGCCAGGATAATTCTTCTCTTATTTACAAACCTTACACTTACATATAAGAAGTGACATAACCCCAAGTAAAAAAAAATGTCACTGTAAAAGGGGTGACATAATTCCAAATTTTTAAATTGGAGTTATGCTACTTGGAGTTATGAGGGCATTCAAATTCCGACATTTTACTTATTTTGGAACACCCTAATAAAGTAATATTCGATATTTGCGATATAAGATTTGATAAACGTACACTTCTTTGGAAGTCTTAAATTTTCTTATTCCACAAAAGATATCCTCTTAAGATAAAAGCAAAGATCCAAAATCTAATGAAGTTGAAGTGTTGTTGTAAATAGGCTCCATATTCATCATTCACGAAGTTCATTAATTGATGCTGACGGCTTACGCTTATAGGAAATAGAAATTGAAAAAAAACCGAGGCAGTACGTTTAGAATTAATAAAGTTCCAAAAAGCTATAGGAGACACTTTGATGTTATTTTCAAAGCCTAGACGTATTTGCGAAATATGTTAACATAAAACATAATTTTGAACCATGGTACCCGATTTCTACAATTCTATTTTTAAAGTAAGGTGGTACCGCCGAGGTGGTCCCCTACTAATTTGGTTAAGATCCGATCGTTGAATCATGAAGAAATTAACGATACTCTTAAATTTTTATATTAGAATTGAAGTCAGTTCTTTTTTCTGGCTTAAAAATTACTTGAATCAAATTAAATATAAGAATTTGATCTCTTGGCCATCATTTCAACAAGAAATATTTTCATTAAGTCACTTTTTAAATACATACATACATACATATCTTGTAATAACATATGTATGTACATATGTATATGTATTTACTCATTTAGTATTAGTACGGTAAGAGAGACAAGCTGTGTAATTAAATAAAATTGATTAGGAAAAAACATACTATTGCTAATTAAATTTAATCAGTTTCACTTCGACGCTTTCAACTGCCAACTGAACGTCTCAACAAAATGGGCACAATTCCCCTCCCTCCTTCTTCGGAGCCATTGATGGACAAACACAACGAAAATACACATACATTCATATAAATCTACATAAGGGTGGTCCAAAAATGCATACGCATAAGTAAAGTCGGAATTTGTATGCTCTCATGCCCTAGGATTGTTCTATACCGAAAAAAATATATCCGCTCAAAGCGCTCAAAGTTTTTCATGTATTTTATATGAAAAAAATTACTTCATAGAATGGTATAAAATTCTTGAAAATCAATATTTTTCGATCGGAAAACTCCCAATTATACCCAATTATTTATTTAACAATTTTTTTCATAGCAACTACATTTTATAGGTCCACCAAGACTCCCAGAAAATGCAATGGCGGATAAATAAAAAATCTTTAGGATTAAAAATGGTTAAATAAACGATTAGATATTATTATTGGAAGTTTCCTGAAGAGAACCAGGGTTTTCCGATCGAAAAATATTGATTTGCAAGAATTCTATACAATTTCTATGAAAAGTAGTTTTTTTCTACCATATAAAAGACATTGAAAAGTTTGAGCGCTTTGAGTGAACTTTAAATAATTTTTGCTTTTCAAATAAAAAAATATGGGTATATTTTTTCAATATATAACAATCCTAGGGGGTGAGAGCATTAAAATTCCGACTTTACTTCTATTGGACCACCCTAATGTACATACATATGTAAACTAAATAAAAGTAAGAAATTATTTGGCTAAAGAGTAACTACATTTGTGGGTATGTGCATATACATATATGTACTTACATATATACATATGGATGTGCATTAGACCGTACTTACCGCCTCTCAAACAAAAAAAGGTCGCCGTACACTACGCCATCAAATAGGTATTTTTGTTTGGCATTTAAAAAAAAAATGTTGTTTGTGTCTTCAGTAAATGTTGACGTCTTCCTTTCACATTTGGCGGTGACACCTACCATGTATGTACAATAGGGTGGTCCTTAAAAATCAAATGAACGAGTTTTTTCAGTCTCAGCCCCTCAATCGGTAATACCGCGGTCACAGATATCACATATAAATTACAGTCCCGCTTGGAGAGGGTTAAGGCGTGTCGCACAGGGGGCAAAGTTGAGATTCCTCTATTTAAATTTCTTTTTTATCATCTAACGCCCAAAATCGATACTGTCATAGTCAAAGATATAAGTATTAATTTTGGTCCCGATTGGGCCCGTTAAGGCGTGTGTCTTCTACGGAGACTAAAAAAATTGGTGAGCTTTAATTTACTGACCTTAGGGTGGTACGTTAAGTACTAGAAAATAAATTCAACCTGAGACAAAAACATCGATGTTCATATTTAAGATTCCCGCCTGTAAATGCCGAAATGGCTATAGCTTCGACGTTGAACTTTTTTTCTGGTGCGGTCTAATGTGCATACAGCTAAGTTTGCACTTAATGAGCTGGAGGGGCTAACACCTATGATCGAGCTGTCGGCGTATGGATGTATACATACATACATATACAAATGTACTTATCTGTACGTGCTATGGCGACACGTACATATGTATGTTTATTGCTTAGTTTTTTCATTATATTTTCTACTAAGTATCACTTGCGTTTTTACCTATTTCTCTAGCCTTTACTTACGATTGTTTCTATAATAATTTTTGTGTATGTATTATTTTGATTAACGCTTTTTTTTATTTTTGCTTTTGTTTTCCTTTT